TATTTATATCTTCCTGCAGGGATTGAGATTGCCATTTTTATACTTGACCTTGCCTGTAATATTTGCAATATCTGGTATATCATTTACATAGCTCAAGATCATCACAGGAGAAGCCAGCATCGACTCTTCAGGTATGCTATTAGTTACTAGACCAGCAACATAGTTTGTTAATTGTCAAGCTTAACTAAGCGAGAGTTAATTATTAAGGCTGCATTTCACCTGCACACGACTACTCAGTACCTTAATATTAGACGGAATAAAATAAACTCGGTACGTACTGATACATACCTCTGCGTTTATACTGTACTTAATTGATCTACACAGCATTCCTAGCATTACTCTTCTTATTTCACTTTTAAACTGACTTTTTTAAATTCATTGTAATAAAGTGCATTTTATAGTCTATTTTCTGACATACCCAAAGCCTTCTACTAATGGCATTTTATCAAAAGCTCTTTAAAAGTCGAAATAAATGCAATCAGCCCATCTACATCTTTCGTGTATTAATTTGTGCGTAGCTGCTACACATGTAAGTGTTCTACTTGGATAATGGCGACTCTCGGCCACACTGTATGATGACACACTAGGTGAAGCATTCAGTCATTTGATCGAAGCCTTCCGCTGGCTGCCGATCTTTAGTAAAAAAAAAATTTATGCTATCATTAAATAATTCTGACCACCTGAAGATTTGCCTAAGGAAAAAACCGTAATAAAGTTATGCTAATTCTTAAGAGGTTATTTTTTATATTGTGCATCAAAACTAGCTTGCAACGTAACTAAACTTTGCAAAAATAAAGTAACTTAGTTTACCTAACTATTTTCCTCATGGAGAAGGGAGGGGAAGGTGGATGTATAATCTTCAAATGACCCAATAATTCCTTTCAACAAATATATGCATTCTATATTCCACAACCAATAAATATATCGAATTAATACTCATAGCCTACTAAAAAAAAGACTCCGTTTAAAACATTAAGATTGTCTGTATATAATTAATAGTCCACTGCGCTTTATTTTACAGCAAAAACTCAACAGCTGCCATTTCCCCTAATGATAAAGATACAGAAGTTAATTAAATGAATCTATATGGAGACTCACAGGCAAAAATCCAGCGAGCTATTCAGAATTTACCAACAATGGTCAGGACGGTTCAATGAATTTGATGATGCCTTCACTCGCTTTTACTGTTATTGAAAGCAGATTACTAAATTACATATTGCATGTTTAAGTCTAATTTTTATTAATATTAATATTATGGATGGCGGTCTTGATATGAGAGAGGATATTATAGCAATTACGTGGGCACTGGTTGATTGCTACAATTTGTAGAACCACAAGTGCATATCAGTAACACTCGTTTAATCTTGTCTTATTGTATCAATGTTATGTTTACGTTTGCAGTCATTACTGCCTAAATTATACTCTAATTAAATGATGAGTTTCAAAATGTGATCCACTGACTTTTGACCAGCCCTTCTGCTCGAATAATACTATTCCATAATTGCTAAATTTAAACTATGACAGAATCAAGAGTTTAAATTTTATACATAAGTGAATTTAATTCCCAAAGATTCTTTGTGACAGATTAAGGTTAGATACTTGTTTTACGGGTAGCCTTAATGATCCTGGTATAGTCGATAGGCTTTAACCCACCCATTAACTAACAACCAACCAATTTGAGTAACTTGTTTGTGACAGAGTATACACACCAAGAGGTGTATGGCTCTCGGTGTGTATATGCATAGACGTTACTTTAAATCCATTTGGGGGAGTTAAGTATTCTTGACTGGTGGTGAACAAATTACATGCAGCCTTAATGACTCTCCTGTCGTTAGGCTTAAAACCCCATTAATCATTGAACAACTGAAAAATTCATCCATTAATAGAATGATGTTGATTTAAACTATATAAATTTGACCATAGTATTTTTATCTGTTTTAGCCTCTAATCATTAGTGATAAAATATGAATTTATAAGGCACCAATCTTAAACGATACTACTGTATTCCGAACAGACCGTTAATTTACGTGAGCTGGTTAATAGTCGGCTTATTTGCTTACACACCTATGGATACACAAGGGTCATTAACCAGCCAGCACTATAAATTCTGATGAATATATCTTCCTTGATGTGTGTACGTTGAGAGCAACAGCTATCCTTTGGCCCATATTTGGAGTTAAAGTATTCTTGATCTTGGTAAACAGGATACATGCAACCTCAAAGCTGCATACAACCTTTTCATCACCATTCAAGAATACTGTCATCACATCAATAAGGATTAAAGAAAATCTATATATGTATCATCTGTCTTATGTTTGGTTAATTGAGTTTAAAGCCTATCGACTACACAAGTCACTGATTCGTGTTGAACAGCATGTAAGCTGTTCAACACCCGTCAAGAATACTTTAATCAGTAAAATAGGGATTAAACTCTCGGCAAATATACAGAATATATAGCGTATGATGGCTGCTTGATTAACTGGGCTTAGAGTCTATGAACATAAAAGGGTCATTAAGGCTACATTGTCACCTGTTCCCCACGAGTTAATGTTTATCCCTAATAAGGGCCTAATGAGATTAAACTCTAATTGTATATATGCTGAGCTACATATATTCCTCCAAATTAATATGCCCTGCTGGTCTTGGAGAACACATATCAAGACATATTCTTACTAGAATATACAGTGTTGCTTGGGTAATTGATTTTAAAGCTTATCGACTACACAGGGATTATTCAGGCTGCATGTAACCTGTTTATAACCAGTCAAGTATACTTTAGTCCTTAAAGTAAGGATTAAAGTAAACTCTCAGCATACATATGCTAAGAGACAAATTTCACCGTGTACGTATCTTATTGATGCATTTCAAGAGACTGGTGAATGGGTTTAAAGCCTATCGACTACATTAGGGTCATTAAGGCTGCACGATAACCCGTTCACCACCAAACAAGAACAATAACCACTAAAATACCGATCTCAGTAAACTCTCAGCACATATAAGCCAAGAGAAATACATCCTTCAGGGTATATATTCTGTTATTTAAAAAATGCATCCTTCAGGATATATATTCTGTTATTGCAAAACTACCTTAGCTTTGATAAGTAAGAATCTACATATTTTTAACACGAGAGTAAGATTAAATTTACTTAATAAACTTAAAGCAAAGGCAATAACTGAGGGGGAAGTTTATTGTCTTTGAAATAAAACTTGTCAATTGAAGCCAAGCCAAACATTACCAAATTCTTTGTCACACAAATGACAGGGGGACGGAACACACGTTCAGTGCTTGAGGGAAAGAGTGGGAAACTGAAGGGAAGACGAGGAATAACACACACACATACATGCATACAAAGGACACACATACATACAAAGGACACACACATACATACAAAGGACACACATACATACAAAGGACACACACACACACACAACAAAAGTGGTAGATGGAGGCCAGAAGAAAGGCAACCGAACAGTACAGATAAGTGAGAGGTATTTTAAAGTGTGAACATGGTGGTGTGTCTACCTGGCAGTAAAATCTCTCCCCCCCTCCCCCCACAGTGTGCTTTTAAGAGTCGAGAAGGGGGCTTGGCATAGGGCAACATTTTAAATCTTCCTGGACATAATCGCCCTGCCATGACAAGGGGGAAACAAGTAATAATATTCAAATCTGAGGAGCAATTAACCCCAAAAAGTATTTCTTGCTTTTATTTCTTAATATTCTTTTTTATAAGTTTATCGAAAAAAAAGTATTCTAACAATGACCAGTGTCACTTACTTGTTTCTTTCATGGCAGAGCAGAGTAGTCCATGTGTTAGGAGCCTTATTGATGTCCCTAACTTCAAGAACTTCAAGAGTATTTGAATAAGTCTAGGGTAGAGTATGGGAAGAGTTGTATTCTGTAGTGTAAAGATTTGAATCAAGAGCCTAGCGTGTAGTCTAGCCTCAATAAGAAGCCTAGAAAAGTAGTGGCAATATAGGATTTGATACAGCTAAATACAACTCTCCTTCAATGTTTCTTTTACCTAATCTTATTATCTACTGAGAAAAGAAAGAAATCTTAAACGTTCACTTATATTTAAAAATGTCACTGCTCTTCGCGTAGCCTAACAGTGACGAGGAAAAAAATAATGTATATTACAGAATAGTGTCTGGCTTATGAAAGAGAAACAAGATCTTATAATACATAATCTCGCACTAAGAACGCTAACCTAAGCTATGGAGACTGAATTAACAAAAGAGAGAGAATATATATATATATATATATGTCGTGCCGAACAGGCAGAACTTGCGATCTTGGCTTAAATAGCAACGCTCACCTTGCCATATAGGACAAGTGAAAATTTATGTATGCAATAATTTCGCCAAAATCATTCTGAACCTAACGAAAAAAATATATTTCACTGTGTTTGTTTAGTATTAAATTACTGTAAACAAATCTAAAATATATTTAGTTGGGTTAGGCTAAAATAAATTGTTCTTGTTATAATATGGTTAGGTAAGTTTTCTAAGATTCTTTTGGTGCAAAATTAAAATTTTTTACATTAACATTAATGAAAAAAAATATCTTTAAACGTACAAAAGAAAATTTCAGAAAGGACTTAATTTTAAATGAGTTCTTGCTAACTGACCAGTTTTACATATTCGGCACGACATTATATATATATATATATATATATATTATATATATTATAATATAATATATATATATATATATATATATATTATATATATATATATATATATATATATATTATATATATATATTATATAAATATATATAGTAAAATACAAAAAAAAGGAGCGAATCCTAGTCTGCACTGATTACTAATTTGAATATCGAAAGCCTGCTTTTCCTAATTACAAATAATTGATGGATACCAAACTAAAGAAATTTTTAGAAATTAAAGAAGTCAGAGTTGAGTTTTAAGGATGTAGTGAGCACTAGTGTAAAGAACCTGCCTCTCTGATCTCAACACCATGAACACTGCTCTTCCACAGACCTCCGTTCCGGACCATTTCTCCGTCTTCTCCCCCTGAAAATCCCATAACATTATTGATAATATCGGTCATATATACACTACTTCTACTACACTACACTTATAGTAACACTGTATCACCTGAAGATTCGCCTTCCTAGGGTAAAACAGTGAAATAATGTTATGCAAATTTTTGATATGCCATTTTTTTTTTATTTTACACCAAAACTAACAAAGCAGCCTAATTTAACCTTGCTACAATTTTCGTAAAATAAAATGACATAAATGGCCTAATCTATCAAATAATTTACGTAATTATATTTCGCTGATTTCCTTTAGGCGAATCTTCAGGTAAGCAGTAAGATTTTTTATATACATTATCATATTAAAAACATTATTGGGACTATAGCAAACAATAATACTAACTATAAAGATAGTACTAATTATATCAATAATATTATTTACAAAAAAATATGTTTAGATGAAGAAAAAGGAAAATAATAACAGAACAGAAGTTGATGACGAGGAAGAGAAAAACGAAAATAATTGTAAGAGAATATATATATATATATATATATATATATATATATATATATATATATATATATATATAATCCTCAACTATGTAAAGAGAGTATAAGCTTGAAGAAAAAATAAAGAAAAAAAAGAACGGAAACTGATTAAGATGACAAAGGCAAAACAAATATGGAAACATGCATAAATATAATTTGACGTGAGCGAGTTATAAAAGACACCGGTAAAAAAATGGAGGACATACGTTGATATACATAAATCGGTGTAAGACAATGTGAACCCCTGAGGGAGGCTACACCCCAGGCTCGCTCAACTTGACAGTATGTATGCTTGCTGACCTTGGCACACCCGCATCCCCTACACCTAGTATAACAGCCACTGTCTAGATCTAAGTGTGAGTTGAGAGCTAAGCATGCAACCCACCTGGCATCACTGTCAGCCATAATGTTTGTTTACTCTTGAGTAGCGCACAAGCTTGCACACACGTGCACACGTACACACACACACACACACGTACACACACACACACACACACACACACACACACACACACACACACACACACACACACACACAAGAGAGGGGGACATGAAAACGACATATGAAATACTGAGAGGAATTGAAAAGGTGGACAGAGACATGATGTTCCAGAGATGGGACACAACAACAAGGCGTCACAACTGGAAGTTAAAGACTCAGATGAGTCACAGGGATGTTAGGAAGTATTTCTTCAGTCACAGAGTTGTCAGGAAGTGGAAAAGTCTGGAGAGTGATGTAGTGGAGGCAGGATCCATACAGAGCTTTAAGAAGAGGTATAATAAAACTCATACAGCAGGGAAAGTCTGGACCTAGTTGCAACCAGTGAAGAGGCGAAGCCAGGAGCTATGTAATCGACCCCTACAACCACATATAGGTGAATACACGCACACACTGATATAGGAAATAGTGACTGAGAGGCCCATAGGTGTTAGCGACCACGCAGTACTAAGGTTTAAATACCTTGTGGAAGTGAACGTGGAGTCACAGAGCGGGAGGAGCAAACCTCACTTTAAAAGGGAAGAGTATAATGGCATGAGGCAGTTCGTATATGGAGTGCCGTGGGAAAGGGAGCAAGATGGAAAGACAAATTAAATTATGCGTATGCAGCAAGAAAGTCCCGGGAGGCAGAGACATTCATATCCAGAAGCAGAAGTTGCGAAGACATGGACCTAGTGAGCCCATCGTTCACCCAGAGGTGTAGAGAGGCAAAAGCTAAAAGTTGTAGAGCATGTAAAAAATACAGAAAGCAAAAGGACGCAGTAGAACATGGTAGCGAGCAGAAGTTAGAAACGATATGCATGAATAAGAAGAGAGACTGTATGATAAGAACTTTGAAAGCCAAATCTGAGCCAAATTTATATACGGCTGCATCAGAAACATGACAACAGTGAGGACCAGGTAATTAGGATAAACAAAAGATTTAAGGTGAAGAAACTACTAAGCGAGCTAGATACCTCAAAGGCAATGGGACCAGACATCTCTTCGCGAACTTAACAGGTCTCTTGAAACAGGGCAGCTGCTGGAGGTGTGGAAAACAGCAAATGTAGTCCCGATATTTAAGAAAGGGTATATAGACAGGTAACAAAGTATGTTAAGATTATGGAGATTATCAGAAGTTTGGTGGACCACCTGAAAAAGAATAGGTTTATAAGCAATAGCCAGCATAGTTACAGAGATGGGAAAACATGTCACACAAATCTTCTAGAATGTTATGAAAGTGTGTAGATTTGGGACAAGGCGCTAAATATTCTTCCACATACATAATTTCTGGCATTTTTCTTTTCCTTGTTCCATATTGTATATTCCAAATATCTTGAGTACCATTATTTAATATTTTAAAGGTTCTGTGTAATTTGAATAGTGTCACAAATGGCACTATTTCCCTCGTTTTAAAAGTTCATATTATTCACTTTGTCATTTTTCTGGTCTTTGTGGTATTTGCATTAGTGTTCTCTGACTGGTAATCTGACATTATTCTACCCACGTTTTTTACATGTTCCTTTCGTTGTATGAGATGGTCGTTCTGTTTTGTTTACAGTACTCCATTTGAATTCATTCTTTTCATATTGGAGCGGGTGCCATTTGTCTCAAATGAACATCATATTTTTTGTTGCCCTCTGGAAGACTTCGTTGAAATCGACTTGCAAATTTCCGTGTTTTTTTTACTGAGTCGACTTTCACGCTTATTTTGGTATCGTCCACAAAGTTGTGTCAAGGCTATTTTTCTATGTTTTGAACATGAGAAACATTATTATTATCATAACTAAGCGCTAAACCCACAAGGGTCATACAGCGCTTCTGAGAAACAGTAAAGGCGCCAGGACCATGCTTTTGGGTAATCAACATTTCTTTGCTAATAATATATTTTGTTCATCCTACTCTTTGCACTCTACTGGTTACAAAGCTTAATATCAGTTTAATATCCTTTTCCTACTATTCCTGTTATACCTATCACAAGAGTATTTGTCAAATGCCTTAGCCAAATCCACAGACCACATCAATTTTTTTCCAACGTCTTTATAATTTTGTCACAATGGTTTAATAGTTGTAATAAGCATGATGCTTCTGCTCTAAAGCCATTTTGACTTTGGTTGTGTAGGTCATGGTTTTCTATAAAATCTGTGATCTGGCGCCTGACCATCTTTTCACAGGCTTTTATGTTGTGTGATGTCATTGCTACTGGTCTATTGTTTTACCAAAGCTCTACTGCCTACTTTGTACAAAGCAGTTAAGCCAGTATTTCCCCCAAGGCCTTTAGGATTTCCCCTTAGTTCTCAGCTCTATCTCCAAAGAATACAGAGTGCTCGTGTTAGTATTTTGCAATTATTTATCAAGAATTCCATTAATCAAGCCCACGTGCTGAATATATGGCCATGTTTTATTTACTTTTCGAACTGTGGGTGATGTGGACTTACATATGATTTGTAGGGTGGGCAAAAATACTGAAAAAAACTAAACGCATCTTCCACCCTCTTGTCGTTTAGTGGAGTGCTGAGCATTAATTCATACTTTTATTTCAAAATTTCAGTCATTTTTTTTTTTGGTCATCAGTGTGTACACGATCAGGGAATAGTGGACCAATTCCACAGGGGGATTTTTCGCATGCGTAGAAATATATAAGATTTTTTTTTTTTCCTGAATGGCTCTTTGTTCCCCTGATGTTTCTTCCAACTGGCATAAATGCTTTAGGCTCTACTCTTGACCTTTCTTTTGTGATTACATATGCTCTTTTTTAAGCATTTCAATAATCCTTTTTTTTCTGTATATTCCATTTTCTCTTTCAGTAATGGAGTAATGAGGCTGTGCCATCTTGGATCGATGGAATTTCAAGAAAGCAAAGTAGGTAACAACCAAAAAGAAAACAGGGAAATACAAAGATCGAGCCAGTTATGAAATTTTTATACACAAACGTCAATGGAATGATTTCTGAAAGCCAAGAATTGAGGGGCATCTTACATGAGAAACACCTGACGAAATCAAGGATATAAACAAAATATGTATTATGAAGAAAAACCGAAGGAATCAGACATGTCCTCATCAACAATGAAAGGGGAAAATTAATCATGATAATTACATGTAAGAATATCATATGATACGGAAAAACTGATATGGAAGATTTCCTAGCACTAGAGTATTGGTATCGGTGGCATCGACTAATTTTGTTTGTATCGACATCAGCTAATTTTAATGGAATCGACAAATTTCTATAGTCTAAAACTGAGTATCGGTATCGGCATAAATATTGGTACTGTCCTATCCCTACAAGAAATCTTACTTATAAGCCCAGAAATGCTGAAGTGATGTTTGGAAGTTCTTACACAGAGTATTAAAATATTGGAGTATGTTATACGAAAAGGCAGGACAAAAAAAAAAGTGATACCCAAAAAAATATGACATCATGCGCTTAGTTAACACTGTTTCTGTAGCTATAAAAAAGATTAATCACACATAAGTAAAAATACACAAACATACACACAAAACGCAAAATTAAGTAATTATAAACATATAAAAACAAATTCTGCACAATTACTCCTCATTATATAATCTCTTAACTCAGTCTTTCCCCATCTCCCCTATCAATTCCTCTTAAGATTTTGTGCGTTGTAATTATTTCTCTCCTTGTCCTCTCCGCCAAGGTCTTCAAGTTCAGTTCCTTTTAATCTCCTCATAGTGCACTATTGTACTAGTCTGATTATAAACCTTTGAATCTTTTAGCACTTCTGCACGTGCGCGCAGGCGTGTGTGGATATGAAGATGGGCACCCATCTTTCTGCCTGTACTCACCTATTTGTGGTTGCAGAGGTCGATTTATAGCTCCCGGCCCCGCCTCTTCACTGTTTGCTACTAGGTTCTCTCTCTCCCTGCTCCATGAGCTTTATCAAACCTCGTCTTAAAACTGTATGGTTCCTGCCTCCACTACGTCACTTTCTAGGCTATTCCACTTCCTGACAACTCTATGACTGAAGAAATACTTCCTAACATCC